CTGTAGTAGTAGAAGTCGTAGTAGTAGTAGTAGTAGTAAAAGTACTAGTAGTAGTAGTAATAGTAGTAGTCGTCATTGTTGTAGAGTCGGTAGACGTAGTAGTAGTGTTAGTATTAATAGTAGTGGTAATAATAATAGTAGTAGTAGTAATATGAATAGTAGTAGTAATAGTAGTAGTAGTAGTAGGAACATCAGTAGTAGGAATAGTCGTAGTAGTAGTAGTATTAATAATAGTAGTAGTAGTACTACTAGTAGTAGTCGTAGTAGTAGTAGTAGTAGTAGTAGTAGCAGTAGTAGTAGCAGTAGTAGTAGTAGTAGTAGTAGTAGTAGTGGTAATAATAACAGTAACAGTAGTATTAATAGTATCCTCCTCATCTCTCCTCCTCCTCCTCCTCCCCCCCTCCCCCATCCATCTCCAACTCCCTCCTCCTCCTCCTTCTCCTCCTCCGTGAAGAAGGAAGAATAAAAAGAAAAAAAAGAGGTCCTGCCCCCATCTTCATGCTGAGCCTGTCCCCCTCCCTGCTCGTGGGAGCGGAATCTGCCCCCTGAATAAAGCGAGGGGTCAGGGTTCGGCGGCCCCCCGCCCCCAGAATGACCCTGACACCCCCTCCCAGAATGGCCCTGACCCTTCTCGTGCCCGCATCCCCCTCCCCCCTCGCTCGCGAGCTGTCCCTCCCTCACCCTGGCGCTCCCCCGGAATCAGCCCCAGGAAGCATTTCTGGTCGTCCGTCCTTGTCAGCGTCGCCCTCGGCGCCGAGCCATGGGACGCCGATCAGGTCGAGTTCCTCGGAGATGCCCGTCTCGCCGATCACGTACACCTTTTTGCCGGTGGCCTTGAAGTTCGTCTGCTCCTCGGCCGCCAGGGACCGAAGCGACGAATCCTTCAAATCCCCTGCAAATTCCTGCTTCACGCAGGGAGGTTCTGCTTGCGTTGTAAGGAACTGGCCCTGTCCGTCACGCTCGTGCCAGTGGCTGGCTGGATTCCTGCCTGCCCATCACACCATTTCCGGCGGCTGCTCGGACTCCTACGGCTTCCTTTCGGGTGGTTGCTTGCGTTCCTATGGCTGCCCACTCGAAACGCCCTGAGTACCTTACATCCTGACTTCCACTCACATAAGGCGGCTCTACGCCACACAGAGAGGACTTCACAGACAGATGGCTCCACAAAGAAGGCTCCAAACATAGCGTCCGTCACGCAGGGCCCCATGCAGACAACTCCACACGTTTGATCGGCAACACGCCGGCGAGCACACGCGCGAGCATGCGCGCGCTCGGCACTGACACGGGGCGCGCCAGGCGCGGGGCGCCGGGACGCTTGGCAGTGAAAAGAGGGCGGCCGCGGAGGCAGGAAAGGGGAGAGCCCCACCGCCGAGATACAGGACGTGAAAACGACCACAGCCACTGCTTTTCTTTTGTTGCCGCCTTCCAGCCAGCAGAAACAAAACAGTGGTTGTGGTCATTTTCGTTAAGCTTGGCACCAGGGAAATGACCACAACCACTGCTTCTTTTTCGGCCGGCTGGAAGGCGGCGCAAACAAGAAGCAGTGGCTGTGGTCATTTTTCCGTCCCGCAGAATCGGCGGGTGAGGGGTGCGCACGCGGCCTCAAGCACCGAGCGCGGTGCGCAGCGAGGACAGGGTCGGCAGGCAGAGCTTGCCGTCGAAGCACAGGACGGCCAAGCGAGGGCGCATTACCGACGCCGCACGTCAGGGGCGGAGGCCACCTGGAGGGGCTCCAGGAGGAAAGGAACCGCGCTGGACGGGATGACCAAGCTCAGGGTCATCCAAGCTACCAGGCTGGACAGATGTCCAGCCTCAGCGATGTACAAACGGCACAGAAGACCCAGGCCTTGCCGAAGAGCTTGCACTGGAGACCGACACTATCAACCGATGGCGTCAAAAAAAAGTAAGAAGCCGAGCCCGACAGGTGTCAAGGCGATGGCGGATGAGAAGCACCGTGTACCAGGCTGTGCCGAACAGCTTGCTCAGAAATACCGAAGCACTCAAGTTAAGGCATCGGTTGACCGAAACCCCGGCAGCATGCGACGATGGGGCTGAGAAAAAGGAGCAGCCAAGCCGGACGGGCGTCCAGGCGATGGCGGGTGCAAGAAGCACCAAGTCCGAATTAGGCCTTGGAAACGGTTGGTCACACTGCGCTCGATAGAAGTATGCCGCTGTACGTCGCCGTATCCTTCTTTACCGTTCAACCCGACCCATATGCGCGCTTCGATGCTGGATCATGGATGCTTTCGATAGGGGCATGGGCCACGGGTTATGGCGCTTTGGACATGTGCCCCTAGACCTGAAGATGCAGAGCAGCGTGCGTTGGCGTGACCAACGGATGTTTCTCACGTGCCAATACACATCTGGAAACGCGAATATCGAACATGTCTGGCCCGGCACGAATTTGGCACGTGTTTTCACGCATGCGGGCGCCAACGGGAGGTAACCTTACGCCCGTGATAATCGGGGATAATAAAGTTCGGGGTCGAGGGGGGATAATCAATGTTGTGGGAGGAGGAGGAGGAGGAGGAGGAGGAGGATCAGAAGGAGGAGGAGGAGGACCAGGAGGAGAAGGAGAGGAGGACCACGAGGAGGAGATCTCGGAGCTCGAGTCTGTCTTCCTGGGGCCTCCCTGGCGCTCGAGGTTCTTTTCCTCGGGGCTCTTTTTCTCTGGACTCTCGTTCGCGCAGGTCGACTGCCTCGAAGCTACTGGTGCCTCTGTACTGCTGCTACATAACCCAAGCTCGTTTCTCGTCATATACTCTATGCCACAGCCTCGTACAACCCGATGTATTAAAAAGTGGAGACCGTGGGGATCGAGGAAGAGGCGGTTGGCCTCACGTTAGGCCGCGGGGCCCCAGGACAATGTTGGAGTTGGGGCCGAATTGAAAATGTCAGATTCATCTCTCAACCGTGTAAATGATATAACGATCAAATGGGGTCAGCGTCTGAAAATGCGATTCCGCCCGAGACTTCCTTGCAAAAACTTTCACATCGCTTTCCACGGCGATTTGAAAATTTGCCATGGCATCTGAAAATGGCGATTTCGCGTGGGACTTCCTCAAATAAATGTTTCATACCGATCTTCATGCCGCTTGAAAGTGGATTCCTCACAGAATCGTTTCCGGCCGTTTTTCACGCCGCCATAGAGTGGCGATTTCGTTTGGGCTGTCCTAATAATCGCGCGTCTCGTCCACCCCTGCGGCGCCGTTCCTCCGTTCGGGTCACGAGCCTGTCTTGGAGTCATCCTGGGATCGATCGAAGATCGAAGCTCGAGGTTTTATCGATTGCCGAAGACCCAGGGGTTGTTCCCTCGCATACTGCCGATCAACACGTTTTAATACAGGGGGTGGTAGTTCTCGATCTCACGCTCTCAGACGGGAGGGAGAGAGGAGAGAGGAACAAGAAGAGGAGAAAGGAGAGAGGAGAGGAGAGGAGAATGGAGAGTAGAGAAAGGAAAATGGCGATGAGAGAGTGGAGGAGGGAGGAGAGGAAGGAGGAGAGAGGAGAGAGCAAAGAAGAGAGAGGAGAGGGAGAGGGGAGAGGAGATTCCGGGAAGATCCAAAGTTACAAACCTATAAAGTGACATGTGTAACCTTTACCTGGAAAGTGAGATGTTCAAGGCCGCGTGTCGGGGCGTGTATGGGGCCTCATGGCCTGGGTTTTCCGGGGATAATCAACACCGTGTATACGTAAATGAAAAATCGGGGGGAGGGGACAGGGAGAAGGCCAGGGCAAGAAAGGAAAGAAGAGGAGGAGGAAGCCAGAGGAGACGAAGGAGGAGCAGCAGGAGGAAGAGGAGGTGGAGGAGAGAGAAGAGAGAGAGAGAGAGAGAGAGAGAAGGCAAGACTTCAAGGTTCACGATGGCTTCAAGACGGCCCACGATGGCTTCAAGAGGTGGAAGGAGAGAGAAGGCTCACGATGGATTCAAAACGGCCCAAGAATGCTCCAAAACGGCCCTAGACGGCCCAAGACGGCCCCTTGTTGATGCTGCTATTCAACATGAGAAGACAATAAAATCCTTTCGGAACTTCTCGGGGGATAATAAAGTTCGGCCCCGCCGCCCCCCCCCGCCGACCAAGCTGTTCTTGCCCGCAGGCAATCAACTCTATGGTGTTAAAAAGGGGGGTACTTTATTATCAGGGGCATAGGGCTCTCGAAGATGAGGCCGACGAATCCATCACACGAAAAAAATGTTCGCCCGAACCGAGGGAGGAGATCAAACAGCCTGGCACGCGGACATGCGGCGCGTATTTTCACACCTGCTGGCGCCAATTGGGGCGTCGAAGAAGCGGCCAACGGGTTCACGACACGCAAGTTTTAACGACAAAAAGGAACATGCCTGGAGAGGGTATCCGCCACCGCGCCCTCAGCGCGTGGTGGAGTGCCCCAAGGCCACTGCAGCCCCGAGACCTGAGATGCAGAGGGGTTGCAAGGTTCTTCCGGGCCCCGACCCCCCTCCCCCAGCCGCTCCCGGGAGCTCCCCAGAATTCTCAGACATTCCCAGGAGCTCCCAGGAGCTCTCAAGAACCGTCTCGGACGGCCAAAGAGAGCACCGGAAGGGCCCAACACAGCTTCAAGACGGCCTCCGCGGTCCACCAGCTTACCTCCAAGAGGGCCACAAGGATCAAAATTCATGCAATTCCAAAAAGAAAACGTATACCCAGAAGAGCTTTCACAGCGTCCGAGACGGCTCAGGAGGCCCCAAGATCGCCTCAAGACAACCAAAGATGCCCCCTGGAGGGCCCCAAGACCGCTCAAGAGGGCCCGAAGTCGGGTTCCGAACCTTTGGGAAGCAAAGCGAAGAGGCTATCGTTGAGCTCCACGGGCACCGGGTGCCCATTGCACAGCTATGTCAAAAGCTTATGCAAGACAATGAGTTGTTCGGGTCTAGTTTTCCACGCCGCGCATGACAGTCGATCAGGGCCAGGGGCTGACCGTCGGGCAAGTTTGAGGGCACGCCCTAGTTCGGGTTCAGCTGGAAGTCTAAGAGGTAAGAGGTCTCGCTGAGAGGCAACCCTGTCGAGGTACTCCTGAAGGGCCTTCTCCTCCATCTGCCCGAACTCGTAGTTGGCGGCATGCATCATGAAGGCGATCTCCTGCCTGCCGAGAAGCTCGACGGCGCCGTTGGACACGCGGGGGAAGCGCGCGCCGTCGGCGGCGGCGGCCTTCAGCGCCAGGGCCGCGTGAATGTCGTTGCGCCAGATACATCCTGCTATTTCTCGCAGAGTGACGATACGACCTCCCTTTGAACGGGAATCTTTGACCGAGATCAGGAGTCGCTGAAGTTCGTCGCGAATCTGGCGAGCAGCCTCCGTCATGAAGTCTTTCATGCATCGCCATTGGTACACAACTGGAAGCCGATCAAGTTCAGCCGCGTCGAGAAGTTGCCCCAATATCTCTCTCCATAGCGCGGGCCACGAAAGACTTCCTCAGGAATGCTGGCATGTTGGCCATGGCGAGCGCGGTCGCGAAGGTGAAGAACGATCGGCGCGCGGTCACTGAGCCCAGAGTCAGAGATGGCGGCCGCGTCGATGTCAGCCTCCGCCAAGACTTCGACATCTGGGAGAAAGAGTGCTGGAGTTCCAATGAAGACACGATCCAATGCGGCTGCGGTCGCCGCGTCTCTGCAAGCGCGCGGGGCAATGAGTCGAAATTTCAGTGAGCACGGAGAAAAGACGCCCCCAATGCACTTGCAGGGGTTGCGATCCACGACTACGTTCAGCAGGAACAGAGCCAGGGCCGAAGCCTTCCGAGACGGGGTCGACGCAGCTGCGAGTCGGCCCCGACTCGACGTTGAAGTCACCAGCAGCCAGGAATGCTCTGATAGCGGGATGTTGAAGGTTCCAGTCGACAAGCTCCTTCCACGAACCCCGTATCTTGTCCTGCTCTCGGTTATCCAGCTCGAAGTTATGAACGTGCATGAGGTTCATCGTGAAGTTTCCCTTGTCATTAGCGACGGTGAGGAGAACGACCCTGCCAGGGGCTAAAGTCTGATGTTGATATCGAATACGCGGGTCATCTTGGCCTCTAACATCAATTGGAACCAGGCACACAGCGCCACCAGCCTCATGTGAGAGAGACAGCGCACGGGCACGGGCAGGTCGCTAGTGCAGCGGTCAGCTTGTCCAGCGTTCCTCTGCACTCTTGAATTAGAATCACCGCTCTCTTTCGCATGAACTAGGCAAGTTTGTTGAGTTTGGCATTGCGACGATGACGTTTGTAACAGAGCAAGCTTCTGGCATTCCAAGAAATGATCGCACCATTGCGCCGCTCCTGAACAGAAGCCCACGGTGGCCAACGTCTGCGAAATAGACCACGCAGACGTACCCACGCTAGCGAAGGCCTGTCCAAATGCAGCCACCACTGGCTGCATGTCAATCTTGAAGCGGGCGAAGATGGGCATATCCCACCGCAATTTGGACGTTTCGCCTGGCCCTTGAACCTCGACGACCACGAGCGGTACTGCATCAAAAGTGATGATGCCATTGGCCCGCTGCGCTCCGACGTTGTGATCTGCGAAAGCGTCCTGTATGATTTGCTGAAGGCGTGCTGATTGAAGCTCCAGCCTGATCTGCTTAGTTTTCTTGCCGGCACTGACGTACACAGGAGCATTGACACGTCGTGTGTCGAAGCCGCTTAATGTGCGGAAACCAGCTGATGTCTTGAGTGTTCGAGAGAGTGCGAGGGCTCGAGCAGGGGCAGCTGCGCCGCCTTGAACTTGCAAGTGAAACCGTCGTTGAAGCACCTCACCATGCAGCATGAGTTGATCAACGGGAACACCAGAAGCATGTATCCATTCAGCCAGCGCCGTTTCGATAGCCGCTGGTGCCATCGCTCTCGGGGCTCCGATACTGAACAGCGTAGGATCTGGGACCCGGCCCCATGTCGCAAGCTTCTGAACGTCAAAGGGAACTGCCACTTCTGCCATAGCCAAAGTTTGTTCCATCGCCTGAATGCGTTGCCGCATTCGTTGTTGCTATGATTCCACCTGGTCTGCTCGAGACTGAAGTCCATGTATACTTTTGTCATGCACCTCGAGGTGTGACGCGTTCTGTCTGCTGACTGCCAGGAACTCGTGCACCTGTGCGTTGAAGAGCTGCTGTTGTTGCGCAATGAGAGAAGTTGCCGTTGCCGTGAGTTGTGCCGTCGCCGTCACAATTTGTGCCTTACCCAGTGCCGCATGCCTCTGTTCCAGTTGAGCCAGGTCGCCAATGAGAGGAGGAGCATCATGATCACGTGGAGTTGGTAGGCCACCAATCGGTGTGCCAGCAGCTGGAAGCTCACCTTCAGGAAACGTAGGAAAACATTCCAAATCTTCTGCAACTTGACGTTTGGCACGAGGCGAGAGCAGAATGTGTTCAGGTCCGTGGGGCCGAACAGGTCCACCACTAGCTCCTGCGTGTAGTTGTTGGCCAGCCGCTGCAGCTCTCCAGGGGTCTCGTTCAGCAAGAGCGTCTGGACGTGGAGCCGATGGGCCAGATGTTCGCGGTGGAGCACGGTCTGCCTCCCGCTGTCATTCATGTCCACGATCACGTTCTCTGTCGTCGTCCTGTCTCTCTGTCTCGTCGGTCGCGGTGTCGTCGACGTCTGTGTGTACGAGTGGACCCACTGCGGTCGCCTCCGCTCCTGCTCTTGAAGTGACTCTTGTCCTGCCGTCTACGATCACGGGGATGAGGATTAGATCTCCGAGCACCCTCGGAGGAAGGCGAGCTGCTGCTGGAGGCAGGCACTGTGCCTGAGCGAATGGATGGCTGATGTGCCTGTTGCCAGTGATGAGGACCGACTCGAAACCAGCGCGTCTTGAATGCAGTGGAGCGCTCGGACGGACGTGCAATAGTGGCGCCAACGCTTGGATCGTCACTTGCCTCAGAGCGAACAGAACGATCAATCTATGGATGCCAGCAGCGAGGCGCGCCAGGCTGATTTTTGGATACGGAGTGCCTGCGGCTGCGCAGGACTTGAGTATGGAAAGAGTCGGGCTGCCGCGGAGCTCCTGGAGTGGCGCCAAAAACTTGGAGTCTGTCCTCGGCCCAGAGGTCTCCATGCGGCCGCAGGGCGACATGGTGACTTGAGCCAAAATTGCTACGGAGGAGAGGAGCGGGAGGAGGAGGAGGGGGAGTAAACAGAGGAGGTATCTAAGCAAGGCAAGGTGAGGCACGTTGGGGCGTCTGAGGATGTTTGTTGCTTGTCTGGTAAAGTTCTTATAGTTTTTCAGCGACCCCACTTCTCGCGCGGATCTTCCGAAAACCGCCCCCCATATCGTTGCTCTCTGGCACCCCGTTCCCTATTCAGCCTCTCGACGATTTCAAGCCAGCCGAAGACCGCCCAAAACGCCTGCAGGATGCCCCCAAGACTGCCCAAAGATGCCCGAACAAGCCTCGAAAGGCTCCAGGGATTCCCCAAGATGCCGCACGAGATCCCAAGAAGCCTCCAAGCGACGCCATAAGAGGCCTCCAACGAGACTCAAAGAGGCGAAAACCATTTAAACACATGCAGAAAAACATAGATTTACTCCCGAGGCGTTTCGGCTACAGATCGCCTTGGGAAACCATCGGAGAGCTCCCAAGACACCCAAGAGGCCGCAGAGAAGCCCCCAGAAGCCTCGAACACGCTTTGAAGAGGCAGGAGGGAGGAAGGGGAAGGAGGAGGAGAAACTGAGAAAGGAGAAAAGAGGAAGAGGAGAACGAGGCTGCGGACAAGAAGTGGTGTTCAAGACTCGTGACACCTCGAGCAGAGCACTGAACTGGAGCAGGTCTTGAACTCGACCTCATTCCTGCTGCTGCTGCGCTGGCACGGTGGCGGGGTTTGCGACAGGCAGCTGGCTATTTAGGAAGACTGTCTACAGCGTCGAGCGCTATGTAGAGATCCAACAGCTATCCAACCATGAAGCTGTTGGAGGTCTGGTGGCTTGGCTTTGGGAACGAAGACTTTGAGGAAGTCCAATGCAGAACGGCCAGACCACCCTAATGACCACCTGGTGCTGAGACAGGAACGATCTACTTATAAGGAAGACGGAGAGAGGAGAGAAAGGGGAAGCGGACGAGGACAACGAGAAGAAGAGGAAGCGGTGAAGAGGAGCAGATGAAAGGAGGGGAGGGACGTGAACAAATTGACAGAAAACGTTAATATATTCACGCTTTCCCCCGCTCAATGTGTTTCTGGCGAGCGGGCTGGAGAACCTCCCGCGCGGCGTCTGGGAGCGCAGAACTGCGAGGTCGTCTTGGGCTGAGAAAAGGTCTGGACCACCCCAGACCAGGTCGTATCGGAACACAGAAAGCAAGGACGTCTCAGGTGAAACTGACCAGACCACCTCAGAATTCGAATGTCTCGACGCACAGGCCCTCCTGGCAGAACTAGTCCTTACCACAGCAAGACACCAGCCAACATATTGGTAGAGGAAACGAGAGAGAGCGCTATTGCTGAGATGTCCCACGACTACTGAAAGAACGTGCGTGTATCCCTCGCGGAATACGCTATCCATGTGTCGCACCATGCCCCATTGCACCGGCCGGGCAACCCGGCGACGCTTCGCGTGAAAACCTTTTCGACGGCAACAAACGAAAAACTCCCCACATCACTTGAATGATGTGGAGGCGCCAAGAAACGCCCCGGTGCAAAGTGCACGGGAATGACAAGGACGAGGGGCGTGAGGGCGGCACCGATCTCCATGTAGGCTGCCGCAGCGAAGGACGAGGAGAAGATCTCGTCCGCGGCCGCAGGCAGCCCCAGGCCGTCGAACTTCTTTTTGTAACCCTGCCTTGGGCGGGGTTCCATGCATCGTCATGCTTCTCGTGCCCATGTATCACTACTGCCTTTGTGCGACAGGCGCCATTTCTGCTCCAGCGTCGAATACGTACGAAGCATATCGGCGCTGGTACTTGAAGGTCCTGGTTATGGTCACTCTAACATCACTAGTGCTGCTACACACTTGCACTGCTACTGCTACCAACACCACGAAATATTACTGACAGTGCGACATACTAACAGCACAGGTCACATCGGCGATGATGCTATCGATGTCAGAGCCGATTGCCGACGGTGACGTAGTCGCTCTCGCCAGTGTTTTCAGGGTTGCCACCGTTGCTTGCTTACTTGATTGAACGCCTCACCCACATAACTAAAACTGTATGTCTGTCCCTGCTTGTACAGGTCGACCTATCGTGCCATGGCGCCACCTTCCCTCGCAACATCGATCGGCAGCGCCATGATTAACATGGAGCCCGAGGAGAGGGGAGGAGGATGAGGACGACGGAGAGCAAGAATGAAGAGAAAGGGGGGGAGGAGGAGGAGGAGGAGGAGGAGGAGGAGGAGGAGGAGGAGGAGGAGAAGGAGCAGAGGAGGAGGAGGAGGAGGAGGAGGCGGAGGAAGCGGAGGACGGCAACGACAACAACGAAGAGTACGAGGACGAGGAGGACGAGGAAGAGGAGAAGGAGGGCGAAGGAGAAGGGAGAGCGAGGAAGAGAAGGTGGAGGCGTGTATTGGCGACCCGTGCCGCCGGCTCTTGGTCGAGTTGTTGGTCACAAAGAAGCACTTCTTGCCCGCCGCCCGCAGCTTGTCCAGGGTCGCAGCGGCGCCCGGGATCGCGGAGTCCCCCCTCCGCAGGGCTGGGAAAACTCCACGGCCTCTTCTGCTCCTCCTCATCCTCTTGCTTATCCTCCTCCTCCTCCTCCTCCTCCTCCTCCTCCTCCTCCTCCTCCTCCTCCTCCTCCTCCTCCTCCTCCTCCTCCTCTACCTCATCGCAGTTGTGGATAAGAGTGAGGGGGCCGCAGGTCTGCGGCTATGCAGAAGCCCGCCGCAGGCGCACGTTTATGTTTGCACGTTGCCCCACGAGCCCGCCGCAGGCAGCGAAGCCTTGGCAAAGCATGTGGGTGGGTCACGGGTGGGTCGCGGGTGGGTCGCGAGCAGCTCGCGAGTCGGTCGCGGGCGGGTCGCGGGTGAGGGCGACGACGACTAGCAACAAACAACGAGCAGAATCCGTGCCCCGGACTTCCACTTGCGCCACGCACCCAGGGACGGTGTAAGAGCGTTCGGCCCCATGACCCCGATATACCCACGCTGCCACTGGGCTTGCCAAAAGCAGCCCCGTCCAGACCCCATCCATCCGACCCATCAGAAAAATATACAGTGTCAGCGCAATGATTTTCAACATGGACGCTTTCTAGTCGACGTCGTAAAACGCGTGGCAACAATGGAGCAGGACACACCGTCCGCTCCTCAACTCGTCAACAGCAGGGTCGCGCGCGAGGGGGGCGAAATGTCACTCTCGCCTCGGCGTTGCGCAGATTCCGCCGTAGAGTGGAGCTCCCGCTTGGGCGCAGCACATATCTTTCAATCGCCAAATCAGCGCCCTTGCCAAAGCCCCGTGCAGGTTCCGCCTAAAATGGCGCTCTGGAACGGCGCATGTTTTCCGTTCTTTTGTCAGCGACCGCAGGCGAGCGAGCCAGCGGCGGGCGAGTCGAGTCAGAGCGGGCCGCGCAAAGACGAATTAACCTAATCCGGGCCGGAGCCTCACGCGGCACCTCGGCGGCCAGGCCGGCGAGTGGAGGGGTGCTGGCTGCGGCGAACATGTTTTCCGTTCGCGAAGGCGCGGGAAAGCGGCGGCAGCGGGGGAACGCCAAGGCAGTCGGCAGGCTGCTCTGGCCCAAGCGCCGCACAGGTGTTGCATGAAAGTGTAAGTGCTGCTTCGGGGGGGGGGGGGCACATTAGGGGGCACATGCGAACCCTACCCCTACCCCCAACGATTTTTGAGGGGGAGGGTGGGGTTCACTTCATTCGGAAGTGAACCCCACCCTCCCCCTCAGAAATCGTAGGGGGTAGGGGTAGGGTTCGCATGTGGCCCCCTACGCATGCTTTGCCCCCGTCGCGCCGATCCGAAGCTTGGCCGCGCGCGACAAGGCTAAAAACGGTGGTCGCGCCGCAGCACCGCGCAACGCTGTTCTGCCTGTTCCGGTCGCGCCCGAGCGCGGCTGCGCTCTTCTCTCTCGCCAAGTCGGTGGGGAAGAGGGATCGCGCGCGAACGCCTTCCATTCGCTAGATGGGAACGCGCCCCAGCCCCGATATCACTGTGCGCCACCATTGGTGCTGGTGTTATGGGAGGCACGGTGGGAGCGGGCGGGCCCGATGATTCGTTTGACCTAACTGAGTTGGTCACTGTCGTCCTCCTCCTCTTCCTCCGACTCTCCTCCCCTACCTCCTCATCCTGCTCCTCCTCCTCCTCTTCCTTCACTTACCTTCTTCGTCCTTCTCCTCCAGCATGCACCCTCCTCACCTTCTTTCGCTCCTCCTTTCTCCCCCATCCAGCCTCCAGATGACCCCGTCGCAGTCGAAAATGAAAATGTCGATGCCCTGCCAGGACGCGGTGTCGGCTGGCCCCAGGCAGAGTGGGAAGAGGAAGGGATGGACGAGGGTGAGGAGGACTAGGCGGAGAGGAGGACTGGTAGGAGAAAGAAGGTGGAGGTGCCGCCTGCAGCCAGGAAGCTGGGTCCGTCATCTTGGACCTGGGTTACCCCTCTGCGCTGGCCGGGTTGGCAGTCATCGGCCTGGGCTCGTGTCGCTGCGTAGGGACCATGTACTTGGTCGAGCACTTGCCCTCCCCCTCCTCCCCCATCCCCGTTTCCTACGCCCACCATCCACTCCCTTCCCCCTCCTCCCTCCCTTCACCATCGCTCAGCCCCCCGTTCTTTTGCCCTCCTCTCCCAAAACTTCAAGCTGTCTGCCCCGAATCATCGTCATGACGAGGACCCCGACCCCAGACACCCGCCTTTGCATTGAAAGCAAGACTTACGGCTACCGTTTTTACAGCTTGACTCCTTCGCGACGCCTGTCCATCATTCAATCCGCCGCGCTGCAAGCAATGGAGTGCCCTCCAGTCACCAGTAGTCCCGGGTACGGAATGTTAGATAATGGTAATCGGCGGGCCCCAGACCCCAGAAATTACAAGGATTCCGGGGCGCTCTCGGTCGCCCCTGGAACTCGTATGGGTCGCTTCCCCCAGGCCCCCGAAGTCTTCTTGGGGACCCAGACTAACCACAAGCTCTCGGACGGTCCCAAGTGGGGGGCCATCCTGGAGATATCTCGGGCATCCCTTGGGACGTGTTGTCGACCCTGGGGACCAGCCCAAGATCACAAATTCTCCAAATAGGCTCGCCTAGGTGAGTCCCAGCTCAAGCCATAGAAAGCTATCCCCTGTATCTCCCCCCTCGATTTTGCCCCCAAGCGCGTCCTCTGCTGCGCAAGGCTTCCTTTGCTATCCGCATGGCCTCCTCTGTATCCGCATGGCTTCCTCTGTTATCCGCATGGCTTCTTATGCATCCACATAGAATCCTCTGCGATTGCAGTGGCCGCCTGTGACTATTCCAATGGCGCCCCGACAGTCTTCGACAGTCGTGAAAATCAGAAAGAAAGCAGAGTAGAGTAGAGTAGAGTAGAGTAGAGTAGAGTAGAGTAGAGCAGAATAGAGTAGAGTAGAGTAGAGCAGAGCAGAGTAGAGTAGAGTAGAGTAAGAGTAGAGGAGAGGAGAGGAGATGAGAGTTGAGCAGAATAGGGTGAGGGAAGAGTAGAGTAGACTAGAACAGAGTAGACTAGAGAAGAAGAGAGGCGAGGACAGGCGAGGAAATGAGAGGAGAGTAGGAGTAGAGATATATATATATGCGCATACATACATACATATCTACATACATACATACATACATACATACATACATACATACATGCATACATACATACATACATACATACATACATGCATGCATGCATACATACATACATACATACATGCATACATAGCTACATATCTACATACATGCATACATACATACAGACAGACAGACAGACAGACATACCTACCTACATACACACACATACAGGCATATAAACATACATACATACATAAATACAGACATACATACATACATACATACATGCATGCATACATACATACATACATACATGTATGCATGCATACATACATACATACATATATACACACACATACATATATACATACATACATACATACATACATACATACATACATACATACATACATGCATGCATGCATGCATGCATGCATTACATATATACATATAAACATACATACATACATACATACATCCATCCATACATACATACATATGTATATATATATATAGCTCGTCTCCACTTCCGAGGGCTAGCCAGAGCGCGACGCGAAACAGGGATGCGGAGTTGGGCGAAGCCCTATCGATTAAAAACGCACCGACCCTCTTTTCGCAACACTATGCGTGACGAGGAGCCAAGCAGCGTGACGGGCCAGAGGCGCTGAGGCGACAGGCAACGCAGCACACCGAGATCCCCCGTCAAGTTGGAGAGTTTCAAAGGCAAGTTAAGTACTGAGAGCAACGAAAAACATCAGGCTGGCCTGTGGGTGGGAGCACTTCGAGCGCGGCCCCCACTCGTTTCACCTGCGCAAATCATTGTTAAAACACACAGCCCGTCTCCACTTCCGAGGTCCAGCCAGAGCGTGACGCGAAACAGGGATGCGGAGCTGGGCGAGGCCCTATCGATTGAAAACGACCCGACCCTCTTTTCGCACCAATATGCGCGACGAGGAGCCAGGCAGCGCAACGGGCCAGAGGCGCTGCGGCGACAGGCAACGCGGTACACCGAGACCTCCCAAACCCCCAAATGGGATGGAACTGGCCGGCAGGCCGCTGATGTAAACACACTGATCAGACTCTATTTCATTAGTTCAAGGCAGGCACGAGTGAGAACGCTGAGAAGGCCAAGCACCAGACAGGATGATACTGCGGCGATAGGCAGTCGCTGGTGCCAGCATAAGAATTTTCAATCACTTCGGACATGCGTGCACAAAACCGAGCGGGGTAAGCGGCTGCCTGCGCAGTGAGGTGGACCCCTGCTCGCGGCCGCTGAGGACTTCATGCGGACGGGGGCGCTTCGAGCAAAGTCCGCGCCAGCCAGTGCACAAATGCGAGATGTCAGCATGCTTGATGACGCCCCAACTCGCGACAGCGGTTCTCTTCCGCCACGGAGCAAAGCACTGACAACAATCAAACACACTGCGCTGAGAAGACTCGCGTTGAAGCAAAGAACGCATGCGACGCGCGTGCCACAGGAGAGACCCCGCAGGGCTCGAGAAAAACTGGAAAGCGTAAGGCAATACACTGCTCAATGATGCTACAGCTGAAGTGAAAGGATCGGATACCTACCCTGAGCTTGGCGCGCTCGTGCGGGAGCAACTCACTGCGGCCCATAGGGCGCGCCCGCGACCGCAGCGGTCGGCGCAGCGCCTGGCTCCACGTCGCGAGGGGCGTCCCAAGCCAGACCGCGCCTGCCAAGCGCGTAGCCAACCAGCCACGAAGCGCGCAGCTGAAGGCGCGCGAGAGGTGGTTCTCGGCGCCGCCATGGCGAAGGTCGAGCGCCAGCCCTGGGGGCCCGCGCCGCTTGACCGCCTCGGTCAGCCGCCCTTAACCAGCGAACAGCTCGAGCACCGCGCGCCGAACGCGCTGCCCGCTGAGCGCGGCCTTCAGCCGCCGCCGCAGGTGCCGTCCGCACAGCTGCCCATCGGGCGCCAGCGCCGCTCCCGTGAGCTGCTCAGCCCCAGCTAGCGCCGGGCTGCAGGCCGCCCGTGCACGCGCTTCCCCTTCGCTGGCGATGGCCCCAGCACGCGCAGCACCGAGGCCGGCACCAAGCGCAGGACAGCCGCCCTCTCGAAGCCGCGCTCCAGGAGGCGAGCGAAGTTGGACTCGACCATCGCACCGAAAGCGGACACCTCCGAGCTCACGCGGCCGATCTCGTCCAGGAGGACGCTCTCCTTCCCGCAGCGCCTCATCGACGACGGCACAGCCCGGCGCCCTCGCCTCTGGACCTCGACCGCCGTCCTGCGGCCCGTCACCAGGTCGTCCGACGCGCGCCCGCGTCGAAGGTAATAGAGGTGTGGCCGGAGGGCGCTGAGGCTCCGCGCGCGGCAGGCTGCCCTGAACACGGTCGTGAGCTCGCCCAGTGTGAAGGCCCACAGCGGCGCCCCAGGCGCGGTGGCATCCCGAATTGCGGCCAGAATGTGCCACAGCGCGGGTTGGTCCAGCATCACCCCGTCGTCGAACTGGCCCGTCTTGCCGGCGACGCCCCTCTCCGAGGGATGGAGCAGCAGCCCCCGGCTCGAATAGCTCGCACCGGCCGCTGGCGTCGGCGTCGCCAAGCTCTCCCCGGCGAGGCTCTGGGCCCCCGCCTCAGGTAGGCCGCGAAGGCTCTCCAGCTCCCGAGCGCCGCTGAGCCAGCCATGACGGCCGCGACTGACAGCGTCAGATGGGTTCCGTTCGGATGCCACCCATCGCGCGTGGAGCTTGGAGCCAGAGGCGAGCGACAGTGCACGCACACACACACACACACACACACACACACACACACACACACACACACACACACACACACACACACACACACACACACGCCCACAGCATCGACGAAGTTGAATGCTCTGAGCCCCCCCCTTGACCACGCCAAGAACCAACGGTAGTTTGTCTATGAGGATGAGAACTCGGCGGCCTGCGCAGCTTGAATCCCCTAGCACGTGACGGTAGGCCAAACACCCTCTCCCTCCAAAAACAGGATGTTAGCATGCCCCGAGACTTTCACGGCCGCTGAGGGCCTCAACCCAGCACTGCAGTTGACGCTGGCAGGGACCTCGCTGAACCTGACTCCGAAGATGCCCAAGTCGCCCTCAGACGCCATGACCTCGACGGGGTTGCCCGTCGCCTCAGGGACCTCGAACTCCTTGCAGGGGCCCATGTAGGCGAGCACGTAGTTGTCCAAGACGCCGCCCGAACATTCTCCCCTTATGACGCCAAGACCTCCACGGGGTTGCCCGTCGCCTCAGGGACCTCGAAGCCCTTGCAGGGGCCCATGCATGGGGAGCACGTAGTCGTCAGAGACGACGCCCGAGACATCCCCATCTACAACTAGAGGAGCCTCGGGACCTCGCGGGGCCTGTGAGACAGGACCATCTGATTAACCGACTCCACAACTGCTGACTGCACTAGGCGCAAAGACACGATGAGAAAACTGAGCATCACGAGAAGCGGCAGGCCTCTGCTTCACTGTGCCCCTCTCGGACGCCGATCCCGCCGCCAGCGACCTATCGCGGGCGGCCGAGGCGCCGGCCACCTTGCAGTGCCAGCGCTCCGAGAAGCGGCCGCACTCCGCGATGGCGTCTGGCGCGAGCCGCCTCCGCATAACGCCGAGCCCGCAGGGCGCCGCGTCGCTGCACGCGGCGGCGCCGTGCCACCCAGCGGCGAGGTCCGCCTGGGGCGCCGGCAGCAGAGGCTGCGGACCAGCTCCAGCTCGCGCACCGCGGGAGCTCCAGAGCCGCCCTGGCCAGCCGCCGAAGGTCTCCACGAGGGCGTAGCACGCACGCAGAGTAGCGAGCGCCTCCCTGCCGATCATCGTGGCCCACGTGATGTGGCCCAACACAGCCCGCAGAGCATTGGCTGTCGTCCAGCGC